TTGAATGAAATCTTCGATCATATTTTCTTTGAAATCTTCAAAAAGTTCCAAAGGATCTGCGGGATTACAATGACAAATAATTGTAACTAATAATGATCGTAAAGATTTAGGCATCATATAACTTGATGCTTCGTACGTACAATTATACCACTCGTTAGAATCGTTAATTAAACCTCTAACTCGCGCTGCTTCTTTGTATGTCGAATAGGTTTGTCCATTAAATTTGTTGAGATTTTCAAAAGATGTAGCCTCTGCACCTTTCACTGAGAGCAAAATTAAGCGAAGATGATACAATTCTACATCTTTGGGAGATACAGAAATAATTCTACCTATTGCTTTTTCCTTGTGATGAGACAACGCTGAATGTTTAACCCATTTTTTATTTTTAAATATATAATGATTAGGAATATCTTGGTATAAATATTGATGAGCACCCAAATCTGAAACATTTAAATCAAAGTAGGCAGTTAAAGTCGTGCATGCGACTGACTCTTGTCGCAAAACAGTTTCAGCTTGATTCTCTTTGCAAAAAATGGATTGGCCATCTTCCAAATGAATAGACAACATGACCATATTATGAGATTGACCATGAATAGGAAAATCTTGAAGATGCCAGGCTGCTTCTTGAGAACTAATATAACGACAATTTAAATATTGTTTTATTTCGTCATAATCAACAACTTTTTCTACATTGTCGTTTGAATTTACTTGGACGCCTATTCGAGCACAGTCGTAACCCTTTGTAATATATTTGTTAATGTATTTGATAGCCTTAACAGTTGAACATAGTTCAACATTAATATGAGCATTATATTTAAGACTTAAAAATGAATTATATGGCACAACAAAACGATTATCTACTTGAATATTACTACGTGTGAAATGAGCTTCATGAGAATTGTTTCGGCGTCTATAAATTGGATAACCATCTGTAGATACATCAGTTTCAGAGCAGAAGGCTTTAGGAAAATTTTTGGAGCAAGATCCTTCTACCATACAAAGTGATTTAGGGTTTAATCGACCACATGGTCCATGAATATTTTGCGTTAAAATTATGTTATATAACTCGAGTTGTTCATTTCGATTTGGTAACTCGGCAGAGATAATATTATCAACATCGTCTGCTGTTTTAATTTTATCTTCATTGGAAAGGGTAAATAAACAATGAGCATGTGGAAGACCACGTTTTTGATGCTCTATAACGTATACGTATGCCAAAATTTCTCCGAAAATTTTTCTTTTAACTATATCATCTAAAAATCCTTTTAATTTCCAACGAAATACTCGAGTTACTAAATCTGGCCTACCAGATGAGGTTTGAAAAGGTATAAGTTCGGATTTTATTTCTTCCCACTTAGGATTACATGTAAAAGTAATAAATAAATCAGGACGGCCAAATTTCAGAACCATCGCCATATTGTCCTGATATAATTTGGACATAAAACGGGGACCACCAACATATGTTGAGGGAAGAATAAATATATTACCAACACGGGCATTATTATCTCGACCGGTGCTATTAACATGATCTAATAAACCTTTATAGGATTCCACACGTAAAGTCTTTTGATTATTTCTGATATACGCCATTCGGTTTGCTTGATAACGGGCATACGCATAAACTAAATACTGTTGAAATAACTTTCCGCCATAAAACAAAGGATTAAAATGATTTCGACGAATTGCAATTTTGTTTGAATAAAATTCAAGTATCGTTACTTTATTTCGTGTATTAGTAGCATGATCCATATTATATGACAAATTTGTGGTCCATCCAAAATCACCATTTGGAAAAAAAAGTGGAAAAATCATAGGATCAAGATGCTTTGAAAGCATATTAATCCTTTTTAGAGTATTTGAATTACTTGGCTGAACTGCAAAATCAAGTTCAGCTGGAATATTACCATCACGGTCAGCTACATATATGATAGCAACATCATCTGAAGTTCGAGGTGCATTATAGACCCTTTGATCATCATGAAGGTTGCGAGTGAAAATCAAAGATATCTTTTTCATAAAAGAACCGATAATTCTTGCGTTAGATACCTCTTTTTCATAAATTTCCCGAAGTTTACGGTAGCAACTTGCATAAGGAGACACATTATTTAAAACTGCATTTATGGTAATCATATTATCACGAAGACATTGAGCATTCGCGGGATTTGTCATTCGAATGTCAATAGAAGTGTCCGCATCGTAAACATATAATTCAGCATAAGATGGCTGATGAGTAAGTCTTCGAATGGAATTTTGATTTAAAGTAGTATCAATTTGGATATTTTCTGAAGTACAATGATATACTTCACCGGATATTTTAAAACAATATGGTCCATTTCCTGGAATGTCTTCAATCTTAGCGCCCATCGATGCGAAAGCGCTCGCATTATTATATTGTCGAATAAATTCGCGAAAGTTTGTACTTTTTTCATCAGTTTCTATGAAAAGGTTTTTTAATACAATCGGAAAATTTTCAGATCCATTGTGAACAGAAAGATGAGACAGTTTCCCGTTATGACAGCACGTGCTTTTCAATTCATCTTTAAAATGAACCGCTTTGCAGTGCTCACATTCAATATTCAAAGAACCAAGATGATGAGCAACTGGATAAACAAAATTCGGAGACCCAAAAATAGCCGATTTAAAATGTTTCTCTGACGTTCTTTCACGTCGATTATTGATTCGTTCATTAATGACTTGTCGATTTTCGGCATAATTTCTGCGTCTTTCATCTAATATATCATCCCGATTTTCTAAATAATATGCATGATTTTCAGCTGAAATGATTTCTCGGCTTTCTCTTCTTTGTTCTGAAATCACATCCCGGTTTTCTATATAATTTTCATATTTTTTTTCCAAAATGGCTTCACGATTTTCAGCATAATATGATCTATTTTGAACTTTAATATTTTTGCTATTTCTTTCACGATATGTTTTCATATATTCCTTTCGTTTTTGTTGTTTATCTGCCATTTTCCAAAAACTTTTAAAAAGTGATGATTTACAGCTAATCAATTATATACAGAATCTGCAATATATGTAATGCTCGCGCTTATTTAAATTAATTATAATCTGTTCTTTCTTTATATTATTAAAATGTAGTATAAGTGTGGTTTTTTTATTTTTGTATTAAGTATAACCTATTCTTTTCTTATTTAAATTCACTATAAGTCTTTTTTTATTTTTTATATTAATTCTACTTTATTAAACTATGTGTAGTAAAGGCCTAAAAATGATCGTCAGTTAGTAAAAAAATAAGTCAACAGTTACTAACAAAATAAATAAAAAAGTTAACTGCTAGTCGCTAAATAAATAAATAAATTGATTTTCTAATATTGTCACTTACCGCAAATAAATGTTCTTTTTTCTAAAAACAATTAATTGATGACTTACCGTTAATAAATTTGGTCTTTTTATTTCTTTTTTCAGATTTTTTATTATTTAAACTAAATATAGTTTAACATTTAATAAATTAAGTATAAATGTTCTTTTTTATATTATTTCAACTTTACCAATATATATATATATGAAGGATATGAAGGACCCAAATATGAACGTCAGTTGGTAGTAAAATAAATAAGATAATGAATTTTTCAATCTTTTTTTTATTATTTGGATTAAGTATAATTGCTCTTTTTTTTATTTTTATATTTTTTAAATTAATTCTACTTTATCAAACTATATATATCCAATAAGGACCGAGAAATTGGTCGTGAATTAGTTTTCAAATAAGTTAATCAATCTTTTAATTTTATGACGTATCGTGAATAAATAATGTGGCGCAGTGAGCGTAGAAAAAATAAAATAAATCAGTGAGTATAATCTGTTCTTTTATATTTTTTATAATTTAATCTAAGTATAATTGTTGTTTTTTTTATATAATTTCTACTTCATCAAAATATGTACATTAAGGATCTAAATATTAATCGTCAGTTAGTAGTAAAGTAAAAAAGTTAATGAATTTTTTAATCTTTTTTTATTATTATTAATTGAATTATAATTGTTCCTTTTTTTTATATATTTACATTAATTCTACTTTATCAAACTATCTATATACAAAAGGGACCAAAAAATTGGTTGTGAATTCGTAAAACAAATAAATAAATAAGTTAACAGTTAATAGCAAATTAAATAAGTTAATCAAATTCTTAATATTAGGACTTTACCTTGAATCAATAACATGATACAGCGAGTGTAGAAAAATAACATAAAATATGACCCATACACACATATATATAGAATGTGCAGATAGAACACAAATAGATAAAAAACAATGGTTAGACAGATATCACTAATCGACGATCTTGCCCTGTTCTTTCCAGGTTCTTGTTTTTCTTGGTTTTCAGACAAGATTCTTTTTCCATTCCTTCTATACAAGATTCTTGCCTGAAAAAACTGATCTTGCCTTTCTGACAAGATTCGTGTAGACAGAATATTGGCTGGTGAGGCAAGAAGTTCTTCTCCAGACAAGATTCTTATATTCTTGTCTTCTTGCCTGATTCTTGCTTTTCATGAATTCTTGTCTGATTCTTATTCTTCTTGATGTTCTTGCCTAATTCTTTTTTTCTTAGATTCTTGTCTGTTTCTTATTTCTTGTGTTTCTTGGCTGATTTTGGTCACATTAAAAAAGCCTTTTGTAGGTTATTATTACTTTCTTTTTCATATCATTTTATTATAAGTTTTGCACACCGTGTACAAAAAAATGTAAAAAAAACAAAAAAATACTTTTAATTTCACATGTTATTAAAGCAGTTTCAGTTTTTTAACACAAAAAAAACAAAATTTTCATTATCAAAAAAAAAGTACTTATTTTTTCAAACTTCATCATCGTCGTATGTTGAGCTAGCTCGATTAAAATAAGTTATTTACCATTTGTTCAACTAGTAAACGATGTAGAGATAATTGAGTACGATGATATTGATCTTTTTTCTTAGCATGCCATCGACGTTGTTTATCTGTATGTGGTGATGACTCTAAAAAAGATAGTATGGGAGCCAAAAAGATATAAAGTGCATATAGATATTATCTATATTACCAAGAGCATTATCAAACAATAATTTTTTGAACGAATCGAGATTTTCTTCGTCCATTAAAAAAAACACTTTTGTGGATAATGAAAGAAAATCTAAAAAAAATAAAATAGAAAGATATGGATTGGTAAAATATCGAAATGTGTTCAATAAGTGTAAGTTTTCTGAAAACAAAGGAAAAAAAGATATCATATATTCCATTGTTTTCTCGATATTGAATGGAAACTTTTTCTATACATTCAATTGAAATAATGAGTTGCTAGATGTCGTTTGAGTGAAATGAACGCTTTAGGAAAAGTACATATTCAAAGTGAATTGTACTACCTATCGAATCAATAATGAATAAATAACGTTCAGACATTGCCTTTATATATTTGATCACACAAAGACAACATCACGTGCCGTTGGTCTTGGAAAGCTGACAAGAATCTGTTTCTTTCCTATCATAAGAATCTTGTCTGAATACTAAAAAATTTAAAATATCTTATATTTCTTTCCAGTTTCTGTTTTTTCATAATTTTCACGCAAGATTCTTTTGATCTTGAACTTCAGACAGAATTCTTTTTAAAAGAATACAAAAAGATTCTTGTCTGAACGTTAAATATATCTTGAATATCTTATGGTTCTTGCCTGATTATTTTATTTCTGATTAATTAGACGAGATTCTTGTCATTTTGAAATTCAGACAAGATTCTTTTTACTTTCCTGTCGAAAAGAATCTTGCCTGAATACAGGAATCTTGTCTGAAAGTAAAGAAAAACAAGAACCTGGAAAGAATAGGGCAAGATCGTCGATTAGTGATGGCATGCATACATAAAGATTAGGCAGATGTGACCATACATAAAAAATGGTAGGCTGATGCGACATACATAAAAAAACAGTTCCTGAATTGAAAAAGCTTGTAAATTATAATAAATTATAATATAGATATATTTTCTTTTCGTTCTGTAACGAAGTATATATGCACATATATATGTATACTTTTTTTCGTTCTGTAACCAATCATATGAAAGTTCCTGGAAAACTGAAGAAAACTTGTCAAATATACTATAGATAATAATAATATGATCTAATGTTATAGTCAACTTTCACACAAGAATAGTTCTTATCAAAATTTTATTAGCATGATAGTAGTGAAAGAGTGGTCAAATAGCACAGAAAAATAGAGCATTGTTTCCCCTATCACTATATAAAAAAAAGAAAATTTCTATAAGCTTTCTATACGGAAATAAAGTAATGACGCCACTACTTTTGGGTTGTCCTAAGTACTTTGCAATTCTTCAAGGAACAAAGATTTCGTACTTGTGAATGTCAATATGAAAAAGTGTATCGAAATACTAAAAAGTATAGGAGAAAATACAAAGTATGCTGTTCATCTCTCCTGGCAAAAATTGGGAACTTAAAATTTTAAAATCGATTAGATGTGTAAAATAATTTAAATACTTTTTTGCTATAATTTTATTTTATTTTAAGTATGCACTTTGGTTACTTTAATTTAAGAATTAATTTAGATGACACAAATGTAGTTTAGTTTTAATTTTAAAATAGATTCATTTAATTTAAAATACAATAAAATCATCATACTGAAAAAATTAAATTCTCCTCAATTTAAATAATTTTTAGTTTATTCTTGCATTTAATATTTTTTTCATATGTTAATTTTTTTCTAAATCTTAACGATCAGCCAAAATTTTAAAAAAATATAAAAAATCTAAAATAGTCTTATTTAAGCTTATCTACATTATTTTGTGCTATAATAAAATCTTTTATCTATATGAAAATTTTTAACATTCTAAATAAAATTCTATAAAGTAATATCTACGAATCCTTAGTGGAACATACAAGTTGATTACGTGGTCATATGATCCAATTGTCTAAACAGCGAGTAAGTAACACATAGTATGCATGTTCGGATCTAACTTGTTGCCTTACATATTTCGATTTAGACTAGCTCAAACTAGCCCAGTACATATCACTACAACACGTCATGACGAGCTCCTTTTTTAATTATAAATTATATTCTGACGGACGCCATATCGATTCGATCTATCTAGTCTTTGTTTCAAAAAGTCCTCGTCCAGGACTAATCTGCATTTGAGATAATAATTTGATATCTAACTGACCATGAAATAGTGCTGGACGGGTCTTTCTCTAGGAAAATACTAGACTATATATGTACAATGACGCTCGTCAATGACTGGATATGAACTGGGTTCAAGGACGCATCAGACTTCAGACTAGTCCTGGATGAGGACTTTTTGAGATAAAGACCAGACATGTCGAGTCGACGTGATTAGAAAAAGTACTTGTCATTTAGCACGTCGCTAGCTCATTTGAGATACATATAATTCACAGGACGATAATCTCAAGCTGATAACACTCACCAGTTATATGAAATCACCTGAATACAATGATTAAACACCACCCTTGAGGCAAAGAAAAAGCACCTCAAAGTTATGTATATACATCCTATCCCATTCAGAGGCCACCCTCATAGAAATAGAACAATGACAATATATCAAGCATTACACCTACATCTCCGGTCTAGTACTCGCCTGTTCTGTTACAGTAGCGAGCCAGTCTCGGAGCGCTGAGTGAGCGGAAGAGAACATCGATTAGTAGCTGCGATTGTATGAGATGAATGAATAAGAATTTCATAAATAAATGACGTTTTTTCAGTATTTCTCCATATTGAATAAAAGGATATCCATCAAGTTACCGTTTTCAACTTCTTACGATGCCTTCGATACCATGTCCGATATAAAGAACGGGAATGCATAGAGAGCCAAATCGTCCTACTCTTAGATTTGCGAAATTTATATATATAGAAAATACTTTTAGCGTCAAAATTCTATTGGAAATACAAAAGTTAAATAATAAAAGCCTAAAACTCAGTTAGAAGATGTCGCACGCCCTTAAGAAAAAGTAATGTTTATATTGCAGAACAAATGAAAGTTAAATGAGTTCGCGTAGATTTTGTACGTAGCATTCAAACATTTTAGATGCACCTGCACTATAAAACAGGAAGGTCTTGAATATCTACCCAGCAGCGTTTTTGCCATGATTCTAAACCTTTTTGAGCCAGTTGGACACCTTTGGCTCCGGCACGTAAATCCCAGGGGAAAGGTTCATCTTTCACTACATGGCGCAGGAATAATTCCCATTGAGTTTTAAATGCATTATCATACACTTGATTGTCAGGTACACTTATCCATTGCTCTCTGAAGTCAATAGGACTGTTAACATCAGGATTCCAGACTGGACGTGGCGTTGCGTCAAAAGGTTGAATATAGCAGTTATGCAACCCAGCTACAGCAGAACCGTGAGTGCCATCAACCCATAGGGTTAACAAGTCATCGCGTCTGACTCGGACAGACCACGATGAATTGAAATGTGCTATGATGTCATCAGCTAGTTGAAAAGTAGCATAAGCTGAGTCATCTGCTGTACATGTGTAAGGTTTTCCATTTTCATCCCTACGTTGTTTGATATGAGTTGCACCAAGGCACGAAACGGCTTTAACTTCCCCAAATAGATTATCCAACACATAGCGCCAATGACATAACATATCGAGAATAATACCTCCGCCGTCTTCCTTCCGATAATTCCATGAAGGACGCTGGGGCAGTGTTCCATCTTCTCCAGTAAATACCCAATAGCCGAACTCGCCACGTACCGAAAGAATGCGGCCAAAAAAATTATTGTCCTTCAACAGCTTCAACTTCTGAAGTCCTGGTAGCCACAGTTTATCCTGCACAACACCATGCTTGATTCCTGCTTCTTGTGCTAATTTATAAAGCTCATAGGCATCTTCAACTGTTTCTGCAACTGGCTTTTCACAGTACACATGTTTGCCCGCCGCAATCGCTTTTTTCATTGCTGGAACACGCAATTTTGTAAGTTGAGAATCGAAATAAATGATATTTCGTGTATCCATCAGTGCTTCATCTAAATTAGTAGTCCATTGTCTGACACCAATCTGAGCAGCCAATTTCTCCAACTTATCTTTATTGCGACCAACTAAAACAGGAACTGGCATAATCGTTTCATGTTCCTTAATCTTTACGCCACCTTGAGCGATGATCGCCATAATGGAGCGAATTAAGTGCTGATTCGTACCCATACGTCCAGTTACGCCATTCATAATGATACCGACTTTGTGAGTTTTGATGTGATTCAACTCATTAAATTGTTCATTAGCTAAATCCGACGAAATTGTCTCCATATGTTTCTCAATTGAACTTGATGGTAAACAAACTACAGCAAAAGTAAAATACATTTCCTTGAGACAGAACCCGACAGAATCTCTTTTGTTTCACCTACTAACCTTTATCTTCTGCCATTGAAGTAATTTGAGCTGGTCTCGTTTTAAACTATGCACTAAAATTCAATTTATAAGCAGTATCCAACTCTATTGTAAGCTAAATATGTAACGTTTCTGATAATATATTTTGAAGCATTAAACATATGATTGTATACATTTTACAGTTTCCTTATTCGTGTTGGAGGTTTTTTCTTCATTTTCATCCAATAGATTACCTTTCTCCATGGGTGAAAAATACGTACGAGCCATTCCGCGTAAGCTACCATCGATCCTGCTCAATCGATGATGACTTATGCGGAGTGGCTTGTATGAAAACAGATAATATATTTATTATTCATTCTTTTACTATTAGAAGAAAAAGAAACGTATCGCTTGACGGCTCTATATTAGGAATTTACAAAAGTCTCGCTGATGTATTTAAAATTTAGAGCAATTGTCCATTAATTTCTCGTGCATATACGAGTATTGCCACAAATGCTCTAATTAATGCTATCTATCATACTCAAAATACCGCTAATAATTGGTGTACATTACAATCTTATTGAATCCCGATCAGTTAGACCGAAAATTTTACTACAGAAATTTTGGAAAATATCTCAATTCTCAAACACGATTTTCATTTTTCACTTTTTCTTCGCAGTTAATAGTAAATTTAAAAGCAAAATTCTTAGTTTTACATTCGGTTTTAGCCTCTTTGATGTCTCGAGAAGGAAAAGTCTAAAAAAAAAGTTCAAGATTTCAGATATTGTCCTAAATATCTGTGGTGAAATTTAGGGTCTGATCGAGATGAAGCTTTGAAGGAACTGTGATGTACACTAAGTGAAAGTATCGATGTTGGAAGCATGATGGATAATATTCAACAGGTTGTTCCTTGCAGAGCATTTGAAGGACGCTTTTACTTTGACAAGAAGTCGTTAGAAAAGGAAGAGGGCAGATAAGATCGTTTTCCAGTTCGCTGTAGATTAGAGATTTTTTTGTTAGAATCAAGTCAAGTATGAACCATGATCATATCCTATAGGTTCGATTCGCGATATGTAATATCAAGATTTTCAGGACCTAAGATATGCCAGAAATTCGAAAGCTTTTCTTTTCGTTCATTTTGATCTCATTGTACATAAATATATAATTCAAGTATGCTGATCGCTATCTTCTGAAGCTTCGCTATATACATTTCCTAATCATGTGGAAAATTTCTGCTAAGAGGCGGACATCTCCAAAAAAAAAAGAGAGAAGGACTTCAAACGGAGAAGAACAAAAGCAGACAGGAAGGAGAAGGAGTCCAAAATGACCGAAAATGTACGAACGTTCTTTATAGGGACGCTAAAGTAATAATATCAACTTCAAATTGATTTATCAGTTGAACAGTTTCTATTAAAATTGTAAACATGTTCAAGATCACTACGTCATTGAATATCATCCAAATGCTCAAAAAGTATCCAATCACTCCGTTACATGATATTTTTTTACTATATTTGCTTTTATTTTCTTGCAACAGGCACCAAAACCTTTTCTTACTACTCAAACGCATACTTAAGCTCTTATCTCAAACCTGCAAATTTAAGCTGCAAAAATGACAAAACACTTATCTGAAATAAAAATGAATACAAAGAGATTGACGAGAGATGGTCAGATAATTTTTGAGCATCTGTATGTCGTAATAGAATTAATAATGTTGATGAAGTAAACTTATCTGAAGCCAAAGAAATATATTGTTAATTTTTTTTATAATGTAATATACAGTTTAATACTATATTAGTTGAATTGATTTACTTTTTAGAGTAAGACGTACATAAAATAAGACCGAACACGTCGAACATGAATGTTTCTCACATAGCAAAGAAAGAAATGCATCAACATAAAGAATAAAGATAAGATAAAATCTTACTGTAGTTCTTTTGTTCTGTTTGTCTTCACATTCAAAAAAGTTAACTCTGATGAAAGAAGATGAGTCAATAAGGTCATTTTTCAGTATCCTATTTTTTTTCGAATTTGCGTATATAGAAAAAATCAACATCTTTTTTTGAGTCGATGCTTCTTACTTACGAGGAAAGATCCCCAAATGATCAAAAAACTTTTGAGGTCATATTTTGCCCAGTAGGATACTGTAAAAAAAAGATAGGCACTATACGAAATCTGCAGTGTTTCGTATAAAGAAAAAGATTTCGTGTACACGAAAGAAATCTTCTGAGAGTTTCGTAGAAAAAATGGTTTTGTTATATGATATTGTTTGGGAATACTCTCTCAGTGAATCATACAACAATCCAATGTTATTATAAATAACTGTTAGTAACAAATGATCGACCGAAAGAGATTTCAGCTTAATTCTGAATGTTAAGCTGAAAGTAATTTCTACTGAACTTTTACTGCTTTTACATAATATTTCAGTGCACTCTGATATTCCTCCAGTAATAGATAAGTAGAACTAATATTAAGGTACGTGGAAGTGACCGATGGATATTCGTGGGAAGGGATTGTTATTCAATTGTCAAAGTTTTTTCATTGTGCGAGAACGCCTTTGCATATTCTTCCATCGACTGACGGATCGATCCTATGTTGCCATAACTGGTAGCCAAGTCGAAATGAATTGATAATAAGGATTTTTGCTGAATTTCAAGTGCCTTTTCATGAGAAGAAAGTGCTGTACAATATATATCCCCATTTTTTTTTGATATATCGCTTCAATATTGTTATACGCATTAGCCACATCAGGATAATTGGCTAGAAGAGATTTCTGTTCGATTCCAAGTGCTTTTTCATACCCTGAAAGCGTCTTCAAATACTGCCCCATTGAATTACAAACAGAGCCAATGCCAGTATAGATCAAATCTATAGAGGGATGGATTGCTAGATGAAGTTTTTACTAGACTTTGAGACACTTTTCATAGTATAAAAGCATGAAAGTGCTTTTGAGTATTCGTCCATTTTATCATGTAGTACACCAATATGAGTGTAAATGGTAGCCAAATCGAGGAGGTTGAACGAAGACGAATTTCGCTGAATTCCGAGTGTCTTTTCATAGTACGTCAGAGCTTGTTGGTAATCTTCCATTCAATTATAAACACCACCTAAACTCTTATTAGTGTACACCAGTGTTGAATTATCCAGCATAAGCATTTTTTGTTCAAATTCAAAGCATTGTTTCAAAACAAGAAAGAGCATTATTTAGCTTACCATTTTTAGCAACATTATTCCTATTTGATAATTCAAGAAAGCGACTAAATATCTACTGTTCTCTAAGATCGTACTTAGTAGAACTTCTAAAATATCTTGTACTCTATCAAAATATTCCATTTTCATCATCAAATGACTCATGCAATATAGTGATGTTCCTCCGCCAGTTTCCTTTCGCTTGTATTCTGTTAGACATGTCAATAATCGATCATTTTCACTAATCAATCTCAACTTAATCTGTCATAATCAATCTTCAATTTTTTCTAATTCATCAATTCGAAATATGTTGTATGTTGATAAAAGAAATTCTTCTTTCTCATTTTCATAAAAGCTATTTTCACGCACGAAAGCAACAGGAGTTATTGAAATCAATGAATTTATTTCTATTCGAAAAAGAACTCTAATCAAATATGAATTTTGTCGAGCACTGTCCACATAAACGTAGCCAACTTGAATGATCCGTACTGGTTGACAAGAATTTATTAAACGATCGAAGATCTCCTTTGCTCTTGTTCACTTTGTCAAATTGTGTGTGCAACACATATTGTCCTCGAAAAAAAAAATTAATGAATTGCATGGTTTCGTTTGCAAATATATAGTCTTTCAATTTGGCAAATAAGTTTTCGAAGAAAAAGAAAAATATTTTCGAACTTCTTGCATATCTTGAATTTCTAAAGTTGTGTTCAGCATCCAATATAGAAAACATTCACGAATATATTACCAAACAGGGGATAGTTCGTTATACTGTTGTTCAAAGTCAGCGATTCTTTTCATCCCTGTATCACTGTCAGTATACTTTTTACCACAGAAATCAAAAGAAACTTTTTTTCATTTTGGGGATGGATGGATGCGGGTGTTGGTAAAACTAACAGTACGCCCATACATACCTACATCCTACATTGATGAAAAAATGAGCATTACCAAATAACACTCATAAACACATACAACTAAACCATTACATAGACATAGATGTAAAACATAAAATGTCAAAAAAGTTTTGCTAAATTCATTGTATTCATTTGATGATGTTAAAAAATTCTATTGATTTTATATAATGTCAATTTAGACATTACAATCTACACAATAGTTCAATGACATTGTCTATTTGTTGTAAATATAGTACAGCACTTTGAATTCTATTTGAAATAGAATTGAATATATAATAATAAAAAACAAAAAAAAAAAGAAAAATTATTGCCTTTTAATATAATCTTTTCTATTTGTAAAGAGCAAATATATCATTGTACTATTCACATAATCATGTCCTTGATCGTGATAATAGTAGCATGTCTACAATTATTTATTTCATTTTTTTTTTGCGCCATTCAATTAAACTCAAATAACCCTTACACATAAGAAATTCAGTTCTTCTTTTTCAATTTAGTTCATACAATCAATATGTCACCATATGATTGTAAGTATTCTGCTAAATTCTATTTGAAATTAATTTTCTAATATAGACAAAGGAAATAACGAAGCATCATGGACACCAAATTATCCAGAAAGATTACCACCTTATTCTCCTGTTCAACAATCACAATCTATTCCAATCGCAGCACCTACTGGTGATAATCCTGTGTCTTGTATATGTCCATATTGTCATCAAACAATTATTACGAGAGTTGAAAAAACAAATGGTTTAGCTGTATGGCTTACTGCAATTGGACTTTGCGTTATTGGATGTGTATTTGGTTGTTGTCTTATTCCATTTTTCGTGGATTCATTCAAAGTATGAAAGATTGAAAATTAAATCGTATATATATATATGTGTGTATGAATTTAATGTCTTTTCTTAGGATAAGACACATTATTGTGCCAATTGTAATAGAATGCTTCGACAAAATAAAG